GTCTGTGGACGCATTCTCCGTGAGCTGGAACGACGAGAACAATTGGATCGAACCTCCAATCCACCTCATCGGTCGCACGATTCGCCACATGCAAGCTTGCCACGCAGACGGCACTCTGATCCTCCCTTTCTGGCCTTCGGCCACATGGTGGCCACTGCTATGGTCTCCAGCGGGCTTCCGAGATATGGTGGTCGATCATATGGTCATCCCGCCTCGGGAGAACCTTTTCATCTCGGGTGAGTGTAAGTGGAACCTCTTCGGCAGCGATAGCCCAACATGCGAAGTACTCGCTGTAAGAGTCTGCGGATGCGGCCGGCACAAGCCCAACCGCCCCAGGCAAGGGCCGCCTTAATCCCGAACAACAACCCGGAAGAACAGCGGCCGGAAGCCAGCATCGTTCAGCGGGCAGCGTCAGTCAACTGTCAGCGTCACCCAGCAGTCAGCATCAGTCAGCAGTCAGCATCAGCCAGCAGTCAGCATCAGTCAGCGGCCAGCATCAGTCAGCGGCCAGCATCAGTCAGCGGTCAGCATCAGCCAGCGGTCAGCGTCAGTCAGCATCAGCCAGCAGTCAGCGGTCAGCACCAGCCAGCGGTCAGCGTCAGTCAGCAGTCAGCGTCATTCAGCAGTCAGCATCAGTCAGCGGTCAGCATCAGTCAGCGGTCAGCGTCATTCAGCAGTATAAACTCACATCCTCACTGTGGTGATGCTGCCAATCATGCAATCTGATACATTTTCGTGTCTCATGTTCAACTTCTCTGGTTTTGTTTAGCAGCAACCCCCATTCCCCCTTACGCACTAATTCCGGCCATATAGGCCGATCTATTTCTACCCAGAGCAATACAACCGCAAGGCGAGATTTCCGTCAAATATTTCTGCACACGAGGTAGTTGGTGTGATAGCATACACGGTCAGACAGCGTACCACCCTGAACTACCGTGAAACGGGGTAGACGGAGTCTGGGCTGCCGCTGGCACAAAAGGGTAGCTACACAGTGTCAGGGATGCAGGGCGCTCCTTTTCCAAGTCTAAACCGGCGCAAGCCACATTACGGGGGCCGTATAGTGCTGCTGCTCGCTGGATACTTATTCTAACTTACGCTCCCAATGTTGGTAACTACCATGCCGGCAAACCTGTCGGCGTGGTGGCCGCCCTTTCCCCTGTCCTTGTCCCTTCTTCTGGTCTTATGCTTCTTCCCTACAGCCCCACAACACATCCCGGGTTGGACGGCACTGGAGCAACTAGCCTATGACGTTGCTTAGTAGCGGAGGCCGAACACGGCGTTAGCTTGTCTATACCATACTCGTACAGATATGCGCATATATAGCTGAATTCGCGTTGTCCTCTGTCCACTTCTTCCACTGCTCTGTCCCTACTATGCGTTGTCTAGCAGTCACACTTCTGGCCCTCCTAACCGCAATACAAATGTGCTGTTGTTTGGTGTGTAGCGAGTGTGGCTTATCGCTGTGCGAGAATGGTATCTTCTCGACGGCAGAGCGCAGCGACAGAGGCGAGAAGTATTTTCTCGTCACAGCGGTTTTTTCTCGTGTTTTTTCTCACAAGTGAGCAGTCATCTGATCAATTTCTTTTTACTCGTACATCTTCACATGTTCTCTAAACCGCTGCGCATGAGCACGACTGGCCAGTCGTCTTGAGGTACCCACCCTCCCTCCCTGCTTTTTGTACTTGTCAGATTAGCCACTTGGGGTTTTACACCCGGTTTTTTCCCTCAAAAAAATAATGCGTCCGTCGGCGCGAGGGTTTTTTCCCGGCTGGCTCGGCCCAGACGAATTAATCTGACGGTCCCAAGTGGTGCTTCTGGTTTTCGGTCATTGCTCTCTCAGTTGCTGCCATTGCGTTGCTTTCACAGAATATCCATGTGCTCTGTCCCTTCTTCCGCTATTCTACAATTCCGCATCCTTCTATGTAAAAGAACGTGGTGTCACACTTCTGGCCCTCCTAACCGCAATACAAATGTGCTGTTGTTTGGTGTGTAGCGAGTGTGGCTTATCGCTGTGCGAGAATCAAATGTGTTGTTCGGTGTACGGTTCAAATGATGTTGCAGGCCGTGAAGCACTTTTGCTTTTCTTTGATGTGGTGAATAGTTTCGGTATTAAAGTCGCGAGGATTACTAGCCGCAGTTACTCTACTGTTTATTCCAGCCTTAAAGAGGCGTTGCCGCGAGAAGATTGACAGAATCCGTGGGCCCAGTACATTGATCCATATTTACCCATATTTACCTATGGACGAAGACCTTTCAGCCAATCCCCCTGCGTTGGGTATCCAGGCCTCTCAAAATATTTAGTGAATGTCCCCAGCACATATGCAAAGGACTCTCTAAAGTCTTACAATAGCCCTGATGGATACAAATGCATGTGTCTCATTGCTGGCTGGGCTGGCACATTATCGTGTCTTGCCCAATCGAATGAAGAAACAACAACTGTCAACAAAATTCGTTTGCAAACGTCAGGCACTCGCGGAGTGTTTTTGCCGAACCTGTCCATCCTTGGGTAGCTGCTGAATTACCTGGAATTGTTCTTGGCGCACACTGCACTTGCATGGTGGGCCTGGGAGAAGCATGCTCCCATGTTGCTGCAGTGCAGTGTTGTTTTGACTGAATTCACGTTGGAGACTGGAATGTGATGTGTGCTGAATGTCACCACCTACACCACTGGGTCACCAGTGGCTGGCACCGTCAATGAACACTACACGAAAATAGTGTACATGGATTTTACTTCAGCTGGGCAGAAATTGGAGCACCGTGCCCATAACCTACAAGTAGTCTCACTTCTCTTTCGCTGCCTGACTCTCTGTCTCTCTTGCTTTGCATGCCTGTCAGTGTATCCATGTGTGTGTGTGTGTGTGTGTGTGTGTGTGTGTGCGTGTGTGCGTGCGTGCGTGTGCGTGCGTGTGTGGGTTTTTCTTCTTTATCAGTACGAGTATGACAATGTTGACATGTGGTGGCTGGTAGCACGAAAGCTGACAAAGTCAAACACGGCCATCATCATCATTGCTCCAAAGTAGCCAAAAAAGCTGGTGTAGTGGCGAACTTAGTTGTCCTGATCTTAAAACACGCTGATGAATGCACATCCAATACAGCTATTGTTTTTTCCTGGTCGTCCCTCGACCTGGCATTCTCCATAAGCAGTTGCTGATTACCGGTAGAGTGTCCTCCATTACTGCCTTTGCAAGAGTTACACAAGAAGTAAGATCAAGATGATCATCACCACAAGAAAGATCAAGAAGCTGAATACATGTACCTAATTGACCAGACAGACAGAAGATGAGGTATACTAGTATGTGCCGCAGCAGATGAAGAACTGCACAGCGCAGCAACCAAGTGGGAAGCAGAAGAAGATTGCGCAAGTAGGTCGATCAGAGTATTTATCCATGACAAAGGAAATACACATTGTGCAGAACATGAGGCATACACACTCGCATGGAAGAGATGATGAGTTGCACCCAGGGCCAGTACTAGAATAGCTAGCACCACCAGTCATGTAGAGGTACGTGCATTATTATTATTTTTTTTAATTTCGGCCAGTCGGCTACTATCATTTTTCGTCTTGGGGGCTAGACAAGGGGAAGTAGCCATGTCGGGGCGTGAGCCCGCCTTTCGGCACCGGGAGTTGCAGCTCGCTCGACTTGACTCTACTGAGTGCAGAGGACCCACACCTTGATCTGGTGAGCTGCGTCGTGGGGATTTTGCAGTCAGATGTGCGACTGCGGGGCTCGAACCCGCGACCTCTCGGGTCGCAGGCAAGTGCAGTACCCAATGTACTACCGGGGAGCCCCTAGAGCTGGGTACATTAGTCATTACCATCAGCATCAGCACTATCAATCGTCAAACTCCAGCTATACCTTAAAAAAAAAAAAAAAAAGTAAATTATCGTATCCGTTCCCGAAGGGAACTCACGACGGCCGCTAACACCCGATAAACCCTAGCGGCAGATGCAGCGCCTAACGGTGGGGGTGAGTGGGCAAGTCTCACAACCACTGGCACAAGTGCCGAAAACGACCCCATTAGCTGCATCCATGTACCCCTTGTGCCTGGCCACAAGTTCCCAGTTGACTGTGGCATATGTGGGTAGCAGCACGGCTGGAAAAACCGCTCCCAGGCAGGACTTGAACCAGGTACCTCTCGTATCTCAATCAGCTATACCTTGCACCCCAACAAACTAAGTAAGTTGATAGTGTTCGGAATCATCTTCGTGTTTCCGCCTTTACTGGTGCTGCCACAAATGAGCTGAACAAGTTAGTTAGTTCGTTCGATACGTACTGGGGTGACAGGGGATGATCATGACTTTTCTCTTCGCCAACGACGTGATGGAACAATATTCGTGTACTTCGAAGTATTTGCATAAGGAGCGAAGTTCTCGAGTCGTGTGTCCGTCATCCACTGGTTCCGTCGTTCTCCATCGTAGGGAAAACGATAACAACTCAAAGACGATCCAGGTGTGGGAACATCCGATCGCGAGCAGCCCTTTGGTATTCTCAAACTACAGTAAGCAAAATGGAACTGCTTTCGAAAAACACTGTTTCCTTCCAGTGCAGTCTTCTTTTTTTGCCACCCAAGCTCCGTTTCAAGTCCGGTGATCGGTGGTGAACTCGATGATCTTTGGCCCGAATCCTCTTAGGCCGCATGGTATGACTCATTGGAAAGTCCTCTATACTAGAGTCCGCCCAGACGAGCAGCGAGTAGATTCTACTCGAGTCCAAGATCGAAGACTACGGTGTAACAAAATAAATGGATAAGCGGTGCAGTGACTTGCTTTCCCTAAAAGTAGTGCTTTGTCTCCTTTAGAAGGTGCACGCGCAATGACCTTTGCCCTTTGACCTCAGTCCTTTCCTTTGCATTCCGTCTGATCAGTGCACTCATGAGCCATCATGGATCGTGCATGGTCATTCTGCACCTGGCTTTCTCAGCAAACAATAATTATGACGGGTTCGTAGTCTAAACATCGGCCTCCTCGGACGCGCATGCGCACAGCAATCAGTGTAGCCCTCGGGTCTCAGCCCGGGCAGGCTTCGAATGCGACGCCCTGTCGCAAACAGATCTGGCAACACTCGCGTATCAGGCTTGGCTTGAGTTGAGGAAACTGTTGAAGCAACTTGTACTTGAATTCTGAGAATCGTCGTTTCTTGTTTACAAAAGAAGGTTTGCCTGTCTTCCCACTTCAGTATAAACTCAGTGCAAGAGTCTCGAAACAATTATGTTATTTCGATTCAGCATTCGTGCGTGAATGTAGTTGAAGGAGCGAGAGCTTAAATACTACAGCGTCGATCAACGAACGGGCGGAAGGCCCCATCCGATTTTCCACTGCTACACAATAACTCGGACATTGGTGCTCAACGGAGAACAAGGTAAGGAGACTGCTGCAGCATGGTTTTACTCTCCTCCGGCGAAGACGACCGCTGAAGCCAGGGTCAGGAAAGTCCGGGGAAAGATCCCGTTGAGACGTCTCCGGGGTTACGGGCGACTCTCCACGCACGGAAATCCTCCTTCCGAATATAATGCTCTGGTCGTCAAAGTCTTCTCAGCGAACACTAGTGCAGGGTTTTGGGAATGAAATGTAGCGCCGCTTCAGTGTAGATAAAATTCCGAGGTGACAATTCACGATCGTTCTTGACTACGGCACTGCCGACTGTACCGGCTTACCGTCATGCATTTCTCTTTGTAGCGAAAATGAAGGGCTGAAGTGCTACTTGTCGAAAGGGACTAAAGTATGGAAGTTTTTTTTGTATTTCACCTCGATATGAGTTCAGCCAGATAGCAAACTGATAGCTCCCGCAGAATCGCTAAAACCTAGCTGTTAATTTTAAATTCAACAGGAAGGACATTGTTTATGGCCCTGTGCATTTGTCCAAGGCCTGGCATAGAATTTGAGTGCGATACCAAGATAATGGTCATACAGTGGAACTCGGATAAGATGCACCCCATAGGCATAGGCAGCAGGAACCATGTACCGTACTTAGGTTGTGTTTGGTTGGTCAAATTCCACAATGGGAATCACTGGGAATCATTCCAGCCCGTTTGTTTGGTCACGCCACGGTCTCTACGGTATACTAATGACCGTACCGCTCTTTCTCCAAATGTCCCAAACTGTGACGCAATAAAAAGCACTGATTTGGGCTCTAAATTTCGAAAGTTTTCCGAGTAGCCACCCCAAAATCCACAGGTGAATTATAGTTCAGGTGGCTGACCCTAAAACACCTCCCGACGCCCCTAACTCCAGTAAGGGGTCAATACTAGGGACCGGCGGATTCTGCTCGAAAAGGTGGCAGATTCTGCTCGAAAAGCAGTGAAATTAGCAGCACCATACAAACCTTATGGCGGGCAATTCCTCGAATTCTGCTCCATTTTTTTTATCCACATACCAAACATGCATGAAACTTACCAGAAAAAGTACCGAATTCTGCCAATTTTTCTGCCGGCAGAATCCGCCGTACCCAAGTCAATACACCCGTGTCCTGTACAGTGACAGTACTAAGCAAGCGCATGCCTTATCCAAGTACCGTACTAAGACACAGTGCACTCCACTGTACATGCAGCTGTATCCGTGACCTACCCGTAGAACACGAAGCAACGGTTTAGAGGTGTTGCGCAGCGTTCCCTACAGTCCATTCAGTTGAAACTGGCACTCTAACTTTTTTTGATTTACGTCTTAGTACCGTATTTCCCCCGAATGTAAGTTGCACGTTTTACACTATACTTCAAAAGCTTACAATACTTACAATCCAGTGTGACTTCCTACTCATCTGACTGTATTGATACAATTTGGTTCAGACCTAAAAAAAATGGGTTGCGACTTATAATCAAGTGCAACTTATAATCGGGGAAATACGGTAGATGCAATAGGACAGCTGAACATTCGATGTTGAGACAGTAATTGTACCACAGTAATGGGCGTTATTTTAAGGCTGAAGACACTACCAGGGACTTAACAGCGGTCTTTTAGGACTGCTGTTATGTCCCTGGCAGTATCTTCATTAAAATGATCTCTGTTCATTCCAGAAATTGGGTCCCAGGCACCAGTCGAGCGTGATTTCCAATAAGCTATAGTTGGACCGGTAGTTAAAAGACCGGCTCGGCGTGATGCGTACAGGTCCCATCGGGTGACCCGTACAACTCATTCCACTACAGGGGGATGTCATTGGTGTTTCTGAGGAGCCGCGGCCAATCAACTATTGCCCAGCTTGAGGCCCATAGATAGAGTCCTATCGGAGTGTTTCATCTTTTAAAAAAATTTACTTCAGAAGTACGAAGATCACAACCCTGGCTTGGGACAAACTTTATAGCAAGAAAAATAACAAAGTTGCAGGGAGGACAAATATACGACTAGAACACAGAAGTTGAGGATTGACAGAACAAACAACTATGGAATCGGGGCTGACTATCAACTAGTGCAGCTGTGCAGGTGGGGCATTGTGAACTCCACCAACCAAAATGTTTGACAAGTCTCAACTGTCGCAGCCCAGCATGGGCAACAGCCAGCCATCCTGT